ATTACTTTATTAATCTCAGAAGTAGATTATATAAACAACTGCATGTGGTTTAATATAAAGCATGCTCGGCCTAGCCAGGCTTTTGTTTTAGCTGCTTTAGCTGGCTATACAAAATCTGAATTATCACAAAAGAGGCTGACTCAGGTTTTTGGCTTTGGGCTCTGAGCACGCTCACAGAAAAGGGGGATTTAATTCCCACATCGTAAACAAACGAGGCCCAATTTGTATCTGAGACATGCAACAATATAACGTCATGACATCAAAAACCATATATCACACGTCAACATCAACAATTGATGCAATTATACCATTTGGGTACTAATTAGGTTAGAACGACTGCTATCAATAGTTAAGTAAGTCCTTTTGGGACATTTCCTGTTAAAAGCTGCGTACAGTCTTGCCTACTGGAGCCACAGAAAGACTAGAAATGCCAACCAAACTGATCAGAGGGTCAGATTACAATTTTGGACCCACTGCGAGCTTGGTGTGTGGGCCTCTTCCACAGCAGACATGTTGACCTGGCTCGGTTCCATTTACTAAGCCATCGCACTGAACCAGGTGCCGAGTGGACTGCGGCCATTGTTGATAGACACAAAATGTTTTGCTGGGGAAAAGGCCCATCATCAGTGTGGGGGGGACTGCAGCAGGACTATCTTGGAGACCTTAAAATCTTCATGATTCATTTTGCCAAATAATAGCTTTAAAAAACATCAACATGGAAAATCAGACTGGTCCAGGAATTTTCATTTGTAAGGATTCCAGCCGTGTTTGAAGCAGGTCAGAACACATCAAATTCCTTCAGTAAAATCCGTACCAAATACAAAGATCAACTTCACCAAGCTTGGCATTTGTATATAATGTGCCAGTACACGTGTTAATGCTGAGTGTAAAGGGGACGCGCTCTGAGCTTTGCCATCATTAAGACCTCAGTGTTTGTTTTAACCAAGTGATGACCTCGAGATATTTTCCTCCATAACATGCAAAGAAAGTGTTGTGGATTTGCTGCGATCTGTTTCTCGCCACACATTGCAATCATTCCTGGGGAAGCACTGCCTTTGTCCACTGTCATTTTTCTAACGCTGATCTCTAACGGATGAATAAAAGCATTCCATGTTTCACTCACCTCTCGCCTCCTCTTTTCCACCTCAGAGAAAATGCTTTCAAAATGAAGAAGATGGAGTTTTATTCAACACAGTTTTGTATTTTCAACTACTGATTGTGAAACAAACACATACATAATATTTTAAGACTTTAAATAAGAAAAGTCCACATTACAGTCATTGGGGGAGGCTTCCCTCCCCACACAAGCAGCAATAAACATCAGTAGATGCATTGATTTGAGACAAAAACAGCGAACAGTATTTACATTAATAAGACGACAGCATTTGGGAAGTTTAAGTATTGGTTTGATCTGTGACATGATCCATGCGAGTAAGATTAACCCTGAGAAAGGTAAGATTTGGTCTTACTACCTACGACTTTAATGGAAGATCATTTGACTCCACAGAATTCATTTACAAGTATAACGCCATATAAATAAAACTAACAACAAAAAGCTTATTTTGCTCTGTTTTTTTCAGTTTCTAACAATGAAAAATGTGTCCCCGAGCCTCTCAGCAGGAAGAGATTTATAGGGCCCGCTCACCAGTTTTATGGTGCCTTCACATAAAACACGAATACCATTGCATTGGAATGCTCATTGTTATTGTTAATTATTGTTATCCATGCATTTTGTTTTAAACCAAAAAATGCAAATAATTTGTTCTTTAAAATGCCAAATTACAGTTATTTACTTGCATTGCTGAGCAGAATGACAAACGGAATGTTCTGTTTGATTCATTTCTGGCTTTTCAGAATAGAACTGCATGGCGGCTTACATTTGGGCAAAACCACATCAGTTTTCAGTTTGACTAATAAATCATATAATTTTTAGTTTTAAGCAAATATTTCTGACACATTTCCAAAATATTTGTTTTCCTGTGCCCAGTGTAATAAGCACTTGTATATAAATTATATACATTTTTTGTTGATGTCAATCAGAATCCCGTTTTTTTTTCTCTACATAATATTAGCTTACGTGCTAGCATGGACAAATTGCTGAGTCCTAGGGTTTACTTGTTTTTAGACAAACATTAACACTGCTGACTGTTCACTTTTTTTTTTTTGCAAAGGCAAGTCTACGACAACTTCATTTACTCCAAGCTCTTAATTTTTTTTCTCGTCTCTGTGTAAAAGTGAATTTGAACTGTATAGCTCCAGCTGCCCTGAAACAACATCAGAATTGACAGTTTAACTCACGTAAACTGACCACGACCAGTTCATGTTGGTGCAAATTTGCACCATAATATGGACTAACATATGTAAATGCATCACGCAAAACGTTTTGTTTTAACAAATCAGAACTGGGATGTGTTATAAAATTAGTAAAGAGAAAGTTTATAACTGGCGTCCTGTTTAACTGTCTAATAACTAAAAGTTTATCCATGCTTTCAAACCAAACAACGACAAATAATCCTAATCCTAAGGATATATTACTAGCTTTGTTGCTGCAACATGGTTTTCAGCTAGCTCAATTTACTAACTCTTTGCAGTGCAGTTTAAGTTTATGGCAACTACATCCACTTCTAAGCCTCTAAACTGATTCAAATGTACATTTCACAGGTGTGCAAGTCGCACCTTTGATGGTATGCGGTACTTGAGTTCAAATTAATCCCCTCAATGAACTTTAGGGGGGTTTTGCATATTGCTTGACTTCCTGTGTAATAGCAGCAGAATGTAAATAAAAATTACAGAAATATCACAAACAATGTAGGGAACAATTAGATAACACCAAGAGTTATACGTTAAACGTTTCTAGTTCACGGTGTCTGTCAGAGCATGTAAGAGCTAATATTACATTAAGGATAGTTAATGCATGTACACAAAGGATAAATCCATGAATCCATGTTGCGTGTATTTAGAACTTTGAGAGATATACGTACTATCATGGGTGAACAATAAAAACGTTTGTTATCCTCTGACAGTTCCTCTACCGCCACCACCTGATCAAATTTATTCTCTCCCAGCTCTGCTGTAAAATGTTAGTATGCTAGCATGCAAATGTTAGAAACATATTCAATAAAGCGGGCACTATGTTAGCATTCAGCCACCCACTAATGGTGCCACCTTTGAACAGTTATTGTAGCCGTAGACAACTGCACTGCATCTTAAATTGTCTACTTTACACTTTTGCTGTCAAATTGTTGTCAGCGACCATAGTAACGGTAGTGGTCACTATCATAATAGGGATAGTGAAATTAAAACAGTCCAAATGTTGAGAATGCTCAATACTTTTCAGTAGTCGCCATGTTAGCTAGGTAGCATAAAAGACGGAACCACAAACTCATGCCAAAGTTGTTAACTAGCTAAAAGCACCATATTTTTATTGGGCCTTTATGCTAAATGGCTTGTGGTATTGTTTTATGTGTAGGTGTTTTGAATTGTTTCTGTCACTGTTAAATGTATTGTTAGAAGACTAAAAAGTTTTAAATTTTAGCAGTTAGCATTCCAGTCACAACCAAAAACTGCAAACAAGAAACAAACACTAAGTACTGTGTTTGATTTATGACTATCATGCCGAAAACACAATCACATACATAGTGCTACATGAAAAACTCTGTGGGTCTTGTTAAAGGTTTATATTTTGACGCCTGAAAAAATGTCTTTGGTTAACTGTGGTTTTGTTATAGAAGGGTTTGGGGTTAGGTCAAGGAAGTGGGTGTATTTTTATTTCGGTTTTGTTGTAACTGTAGATTTAATGTTTAATACTAGCAGCTAGCACACAGTGAGTGTAATGTTCAGTTTGTGACAACACATTTAAAAGATAATAGCTTTTCATTTCTAAACTTTCTGCTCATTTAACAGGGCTGAAACAAAATCAAACCCTAACCATTGATGGGTCACTTGATTTCATGTTTTGTTCTACATCATAAAATAGATACAACTATTCTGTAATCACCCAAACTCCTGAATTTTGAAGCCACTACATGTGCCAGAGAAGGTGTGATGGTAATCCTCAACATTTTCACGGCGAATACAGGAACTCTGTAATTCTACAACAGTGGTGTAGTTCGTCAACAGTTTGTTAGTGTTTCATTAAAGTGTAAATCATCTTGCAAAAGAAAACATGGAAGTATTCCCACAGCTTAATTTCTGCAGTAACATCCAAGAAAAACCCTGTGGATACATCTTAAAGGATTCAGGTGTTAACATCAAGGTTGGCCAATGCATACACGTTTTACTAACGCGGAGTCTTGAGCAATCAGTATTAGCTCAGCACTGCACCATAGCTAGCCATAGTTTAAAGCTCTAGATTCCCAACCTTGGGATTAAGACGAGACCACAAAACATTACAAAAATTAAATATGGGGCATAATAAATCTAATAAGGGATGAAAGAAAGAATAAATACTGGATATTTTAACCTCATTAAGCATCCAAATGTCCTTTGAATCAAACTTGATAGAAAAGTAATAACTTTTTTTTATCACTACTGCATCTTCACTTGATATACGTATAAGGTTCAGGTGTACAATAGGAAGTTAAAGAACATCTCTATTATTTATCTAGAAAATATTATCTGAACATCATAAAATTATGCTGGTATGAAACAAATTGCTACCCACCACTGGAGACCTTTTTTTTTTTTTTTTTTTTTGTAAATAGCATTAACATCTGGGGGAACCATCAGATTACCTCCTAATCATGTGACACAGAGTCAGCAGACGTATATAAAAGCAGTCCAGGGTCAATCGATATCAACCCGATCGATGCTGTGGTTGTCCCCTGAGCTCCTCTTCATCGTCAGCCGCAGACGACAGCTTTCTGACATTTTTAAAATGGCCTAAACGTTTGTTTTCCCCAATGGCTGATTGTCCTCTAGTGAAGCTCAGTGCGCCGGGAGTGTAGAAGCCAGCGGTTTGTCCCGAAACCCCCTCAGCTCTGCATCAACTTCAATTTAAACTGAGTGACTGAATGAGGCCGCGATGAGTCCGAGTTCCTGTTTCAAAGAGACAAGAAACAAGATCGGTGTTTTACATGTCAGTCGTTGAGCAGCCTTTGGGGAATTAAAGCTTTGGCACCACAGCCAGAAAAAATGTATGTATGTACCTATTTAAATAGGTAAATTTATGCTTTACATAACAAATTACTGATTACTTTTTACTGCTGTAAACCTTGAAACAGTTTTTCTTTCCATATCACGACATCTACCCTCAAACTTTCCCGGATTAGGACCAGTTTTACCCTACACTGTTAACGAGCCCTGTAGATTACCACACAATGGGCTTTCTTAATTGCCTTTAATGGCTTGATTTGTTTACCCGAGGGTTTTAATTGCTTCTTAATGGCTTCATTTGTTTTAATATTTTTGCAGCACTTTGGTCGATGTGACATATCAATAAACTCTCTCGACTTGTGGTCCAGTGTTTACAAAATCCACAAACTTACACGGTCAAAGAAGGGAGATTTATTAGCTGTCCCTATCATCGCTGTAGCTTAATGTCCCCTGTAATTATTCATGTGGGTTTGGGAGAGCTCCAGACACCAAGATGTATTCAGTGCAGGTTTTGTTTTCAATATTCATGGAACTCAAAGCCAACTCTCAGCATTGAGTTTTCTTGTCATTCAGTTGTAGTTTCTCCTCTGCTAATATTGCAGAAAATTGGTACTTTCATTATTTATATGAAATAAACAGCAGTGGTAAGTTTAAGTTTCAGGGGAGAAAAACTGGAGCTACATTACACTACCAGGCTTTTTTATTTATTTTGAGATTTCATATAAATACAACTGAAATCAACAGATTACAAAAGTATTTAGGAATAGCATTTAATTAAGTTAATTAAGCAGTTAAGTACATCCACTTCCAGAGCCCTGTAAAATAAATATTTTTCCAGTAACTGTGGATCCAAAATGCTGCTTTCTGCCCTCAAACTTCTCTGGTGTTGCAGTTAATCTCAGCAGTAAACTCTTCAGCCTTTTCAAGGGTTCGGAATCTCTTTCTAAACGTACACGGAGTGATGCAGGAGCCGGCACAGCAGAACAAAGACTTTAAGGCGTGTGACCCTGGTGGAGGCTCCAAGCCGCTGTTGTGGTTTATCTTCCTCTGAAAGCCTTTCAGAGATGCGGTTTGCAGGGTTTTTCTTGTTGGGAGGAGATGCTCTGAAATTACCTCGCAGCTTTGTGGCGACTCAGACCCCGAAAGAGGATCAGAGACGAGGTAAAAGGTGGGCTCAGGACAGTTTGTACTAAACAGCAGCATCAGGTCAGGGTTTAGTCGTCCTCCTTTGGGAGGTTTAATTACTCACTGGTCATCTGCCTAAACACACAGCAGCTTTAAACCAATCGGGGGTTTAGACTAGCAGGACAGATTATCTTACTGTGATTATTTTATCGTGCTGTAAAGGCGTACACAGGTGTTCGTGTTTGAGTTTAGAGCTAATCTCACACTGGGAGGAGGAGGAGGAAGGTCTCTGCATCATCTGATAACACTACCACTTCTTAATCAGCTCCACTTTACACAATGAAGCCCTGCTGAGCATGCATCATGTTCTCTCCTGGCTGCAGCACACGAGTCTACATGAAGGACACAAACCAGTCCCCTCTCACCTGTGGTGATGTTCTCAGGTACTGTCCGATCCTTTATATTCTCTTAACTGGAAAGGCCTGGGAGGGAATAGCCGTCTTTGTGTCTGCAGAGAAAAGAAAAAGCGGAGAAAAATGAGGTGGGCAGGTATGAAACTGCAGCTACAGCAACTCTGCATATGCCTCTGTCCTGAAGCCACAGATATCAGAGAAGATCTGCAAATACTGCAAATGTTCAAAAGACCTGCGGAGGAAAGAGGAAAAAAATCACCTGGACTGTCAGCAGATTACACCAAACCGACTATTTATTTAACTCCTGTGAGAAGCACCTCGAGCCTGAACCTGACTGATTTACAACTTTCCACTCCGGTTTATCTGCATGTAATCAAACTGTCCCTCCTTCACAGCCGAGGCGCAAATGAGCAGACGCTCAGCTCCTGCGAGTACAAAGCTTCAGACATGCAATGTTTTTATTTTCAACTGCAGAACATGCATTTTATTTAATGACCAGCTCAGCTGTTAATCAAACTCTCTGCAGTGTGATTTGGTTTTATTGCTACTCAGATCAAACATGAAGCTTGATTTGAAGTAAAAACTCTCACTTCTCTTTTACTCTATTTAGGCAGCATCATCCAAGGGCAGCATACAGCCAGTTGATACACATTTAAGTCATAATCTAATGAATTTGTTAGGATTTCTAAGTTTTTATTACTATGCTGTGCAAATTGAACATTTCCATCTGAAATATTAAGTTGATGCTGTGGAGTCCATTGAATCTTGTTGTTAACTGATGACATCCGTTCATTAAGGCTGTTGTCTTTATAACACATTTTAATGCTTAATATTTTATTATATTTAATCTGAACACGTTTTAATCAGTCACTGAGTCAGAACACGGTGTATTCCGGTTTGGACCCAGAAATGGTTAATGACGCCTCAGGCACAAAGTCCTAGGGACTGGCCCAGTCGTTGTAGGAGGCTGGTTGCAAAGAGACATACTGTGCTGCACCAAAAACCTCTCTGTGACTGCTTGGGTGGGCAGTAGATGGCTGTGGTCACTCGTAGTTTGCATGGAAAACGCAGACTTGTCTGCAAACACTGGCTCACTGCTCTCAGAGTGTAAGTAACACTTGGAAAATTAAGACACAAAGATGAAGCAGAAAATGCTCTCCTTCAAAGTAAAACTTTGGAATGCTTTGGCTGTAGTGGTGAGGCACAACTTTTATTTTGAAGACCAATGTTCCCCATTTCCAGTTTTCACAGTTTACCACTTAACATTATTTGTTTGCATTAGAGCCCTCTTGCAGTAAAAGAGAAAATATATAAAATACATAAATAAATACGTCCATCAATAAACCAGGGTGGCATAATAATGTCTTGCTTTACTATCTTATGTGCATTTGGTCTAAAACACAGGAAATATTTCTGTCTTTGCAACTTAGCGACTGTTTGCAGAAGTCAGCGTATTTCATGGAAACTGTGGACAACTGTGGTAATCTGCGAGCGACCAAACCAATCACAAGGTAGTTTCTGATGCAGCACCGTATCTTAGCAACCAATTTCACCCAGCAACTGCCAGCAACTATTTGCCAACCAGTCAGGGAATAATACATTTTAGCGACCAGCAGTGACCAGGGTTCACTGGTCTAGGCTTGTGTGACTGGACCTTTGTTAAAGTCACGTGAATAGTGGTCTAGTTAGTGGACAGCAAAACCTGAATATACACTGGTCTTGCAGTTGCACAGTAGCATCATATTGCAGGATAATGGCTTGTACACAGTGTGTATGTGTGAGCTGTTTCTGAGGTTGCACAGAGGTACTCTCATCTTAACTAAAGAACTAATTACACTGAGTTTCTTTATGATCTTTCTTCATTCTGTTCTGGTTCCAATATCAAAGAGTGCTTGTCTCATGTTGCTGTTAAATTGCTGTTTGGCAGCAACAACGTCACTATTTCTGGATTTCTATTTCAAATCTGGTTCTGGCAGGACTCTGAAGGTAAACCATTAATGTTAATTTCTCGCATTTAAGCAGCATCAGATTAGCAGTTTTCACTAATTTACCGTATTGTTGCAAACAGATTGCACATAATTGCCAAATTTATCCAATTCAATGTAGACTGATGGACTGACTGTTTGAGTTTCCATTTTAACACCAGTTGAAAATGGCTGCGAGAGGCTGCAGACTTCATCTCCGTCTTCTGTCATCTCTAACCACCGAAACATTAGCTTAAGTAATTTGATGGAGAACAGAAATGGAAAATATTTCAATTTAAAAAAAAAAATCACAGTTCTGAAAGAAACAAAATGATTTGTTTCAACATCTTGAAGTGTACACAAAACACTGTGTGGATGTACACTTTGAAGCCCTGCTCAGGAAATGTAAATACATGTAACTCTGTCTGTGAAGCTGGAGTTAAGAACTCTGTGCTTAAAGTTATATCCATCCATCCATCCATCCATCCATTTTCTTCCGCTTATCCGGGGCCGGGTCGCGGGGGCAGCAGCCCAAGCAGAGAAGCCCAGACCTCCCTCTCCCCAGCCACCTCCTCCAGCTTATCTGGGGGAACACCAAGGCGTTCCCAGGCCAGCTAAGAGATATAATCTCTCCAGCGTGTCCTGGGTCTGCCCGGGGCCTCCTCCCGCTGGGACATGCCCGGAAAACCACCTCAACTTGCTCCTTTCGATGTAGAGGAGCAGCTGCTCTACTCTGAGCCCCTCCTGAATGGCCAAACTTCTCACCCTATCTCTAAGGGAGAGGCCAGCCAGGAAGCTCATTTCCGCCGCTTGTATTCGCAATCTTGTTCTTTCAGTCACTACCCACAGCTCGTGACCATAGGTGAGGGTAGGGGCGTAGATCGATCAGATCGAGAGCTTCACTTTTACACTCAGCTCTCTCTTCACCACAACAGACCGGTACAGGGTCCGCATCACTGCAGCCGCTGCACCAATCCGTCTGTCGATCTCCCGCTCCCTTCTCCCATCACTTGAAAGTGTAAAGAATATCTTTGGTTTGTTAACATAAAACTCATTGTTACAGCCAGGAGCAACACAAAGGTGATCCCCTTGGACTGAGTTTAGGTTTAGTCCCTCATTTTCCTCTGAGTTATCGGTTCTGTCACTAGTTAGCTAACATAAACTAATTTAAGTCTATTAGCCGCAAATCTCAAAGCTAAACTGGAGAGACAAATCAATCAATAACCTTTTTATTAGGGGTGCAACGATACTCGTAT